ATATATATATATATATATATATATATATACTGAAATGATTATTAACGTACATCATTTCTTTATAAATAATGTTAAAAATGTTGTTTAATATGCATCTTTAAACAACAACCCAATCTCTTGTCAAGCCTTCACACTCATCCAATCTAAAATAAGAACAAAGAGACTAAATGAACTCTAAAGTGACTTATTGTCTCATGAAATTCAGAAGCAGAGGCAATAAAACTTAAATGAATGTAAATGAAGCAGTAAGTCATGAAACATGACTCAAGCCCTTTCTTTTCTCATGACAGGTTAGATATTACATATTCAGATAAGGCACATGTAGACAGACATGAGTCACGCTCTATATTCGTTGTTTCGATTGCTGCTAGACTATTAGAATTAATTCCTGCCTAATCATGGGCTTGTATTATGATCGATCGTCTCATCGCTTATTCATGACTGCTTTGCTTTATATCTCAAATCCTACAATTGACTGCAATTACAAGTAGAGAGTTAGTGTTTCTGGAACTAAATATGCATGAACTCTTCTGACACCCGATGGATGGATTAATGTGAGCCTGCACTGTATGCGATGATGATGTAAAAACAGACGATTCGTCGCACAGTTTCACTCCAGGCCACAGAAACAACTACAAGAGTTTTATCAATCTGTGGAATTATTATGAAGTTAATAATTAACTTCACGCCACGATCATGAGTTTATAAGTGTACATTTGGGCTGGGTGTGAATTTAAATGTAGAAAACAGAAACTGGATTATACTATCACTTAATATGAGGTCATATAATATGAGTTTTGCATGTTGTTCAATGTTAAATAAGTCAGAAACTGATGTAGGATGAGCTCGTCCAGATCAGTGGCTGCAGCTACAAAAACACTCCAATCAGTGCAGTCGAAGCAGGCTTGTAAATCCCGCTCTGCTTCATTAGCCCATCTCTTTACAGATCTCACTACAGGCTTAGCAGATTTAATTTTCTGCTTGTAGGCTGGTAGAAAATGAACCAAACAGTGATCAGAGTCCCAGAGCCGCATATTAGAATGATTTCCGAAGATCATGTGACACTTTATACTGGAGTAATGGCTGATGGAATTTCAGCTTTGCATCACAGAAATAAATTATATTTTAAAGTGTATTAAAACAGAACCCATTATTTTATATTGTAATAACATTTTGCAAGATTACAGTTTTTTTCTGTATTTTTGATCAAATAAATGCAGCCTTGATGAGCAGAAGAGACGTCTTTACTCAAGTCTTACTGATCCCAAACTTTTGAACGGCAGTGTATATATAAAATTTTAATATTTTATTTTTCTCAAATGATCAGAATATTGTCTTATTTAAATGACAAAATCACTTTTCTATTAGTTTGTCTGCTTGTTTCACTCATGCTGCTGATTCAGTTCCCTTCATCTTATTATCCTACAGAAAGACACCTCCAGACGTGACACTTCCTACTTCCTGAGGAAGTTACAGCAGCGCGTGTCCATTTGAGTCTCACACACACTCAGACAGGAAGCATTACATCATCAGATGAGTGTGTGTGTGTGTGTGTGTGTGTGTGTGTGTGTGTGTATGAGAGATTCGGCTCATCCTACATTCGGTCATCTTAAACCTTCACTCACGTTCCTGTGAAGCCTGGATATATATAATACAGCACACTCATAAAGCATTATAAACATTCAGAAAGCCTCGTGTGTGAAAACCAAAACCACAGGCGTCAAACATCAACACATTTCACTGTAAATCATCTGTAAAATAACCATTATGAAGGATTATACATTATAAATAACGCAAAGATATATAAACAGACTCCACAGGAAGCATTCATTAATATTTGATTCATTTCCAACAGCTGCTTCTCTCATCATAATGTAATATAATGTAGTATGTATCATATTTTTGATTTTAACGACACACACAGTGGATCACATTTATACACAAAGACATACACACACAGACACAGACACACACAAACACTCACACACACACACGCACGCACACTCACAGAGAGACACACACACACACACGCACGCACGCACACACGCGCACACGCGCACACGCGCACGCACACGCACACGCACACACACACACACACACACACACACACACACACACACACACACACACACACACACACACACAGACACACACACACAGACACAGAGACAGACAGACACTCTCATGTCCTGCAGGCGTGACCTCTATAATCATGTGTAAGTCGACACCTATCAGACGAGCCGTGCTCCAAATGAGCCAATTAAACTCAAGAACTCCTCCAAACTCCGCCCACAACCATGTGAAGGAGTGAAGAGCGTAAATGTCAAAACAAGAACAAAACAAAGGCATGATTCCAACACCAGCGTCAATGTGGTGTGAAAAACGACGGTACGTAATGACGGGAAACACTCGCACACCTGCTGCAGGTGTGTTCACACACACACACACACACACACACACACACACACACACACACACACACACACACACACACAACACACGTACCCAAAATTGAGCAAAACCTGACAAAATCACCAAAAACCTCCATATGGGGACGTCCTCATTTGTAAAACTGGTATAAAAATAAAGTTTTTTTGAAATTGTAAAAATGCTATGTCTGTGTAAGTGTGTGTGTGAGTGTGTGAATCTGAGTGTGTGTGTGTGAGTCTGAGTGTGTGTGTGTGTGAATCTGAGTGTGTGTGTGTGTGTGAGTCTGAGTATGTGTGTGTATATGAGTGTGTGTGTGTCTGTGTGTGAGTGTGAGAGTGAGTGTCTGTGTGTGTGTGTGTGTGTGTGTGTGTGAGTGAGTGAGTGAGTGTGTGAGTGACAGGAACATGAAAGTGGTTTGAAGGGTAAAAGAATAAGTGAAGCACAGCTGCTGCTGCATCCTTCAGCTCATCACACTCAGACGTGACACACGTGAGATCTCACCGTTTCACACGCTACCTGACCGTCTTATAATAGCCTTCTGTGTTTTGTGTAAGATATTCCCGATCACTGAGGTCAAATCCCATGATTCCCATTGATCCTGACTGAAAGAGGACCACGTGACATGAGATCTGTGCACAATTTACATTTACATTTAATCATTTAGCAGACGCTTTTATCCAAAGCGACTTCCAAATGAGGACAATGGAAGCAATCAAAATCAACAAAAGAACAATGATATGCAAGTGCTATAACAAGTCTCAGTTAGCTTAATGCAGTACACGTAGCAAGTTT